CTTGTTACTAGTAGCGATGCACTTGTTTCTAATAGCAAACATTGTTACTACTAGTAAGGCGCTTGTTACTAGTAGCGATGCACTTGTTTCTAATAGCAAACATTGTTACTACTAGTAAGGCACTTGTCACTAGTAGCGATGCACTTGTTTCTAATAGCAAACATTGTTACTACTAGTATGGCACTTGTTACTAGTAGCGATGCACATGTTTCTAATAGCTTCTTGTTACTAACCTCACAAAAATCAGGAAGATGTTGAATTTGGATTCCAAGAGTCGTCCCAAAACCCTCATCGGTCCAGTCGATTGTTCTTGGGGTCTGGCATGAAATTGTGGCAATTGAGTTTTGGTGCATTTCTTGCGCCGAATCGTGGAAGACCTTCAGTGCGTCTCTTCCGGGCTTGGGCTCTGGGCCTGGCCATCTTCCCGGACTATCTCGCCGAAGACCACGTGCTTTCGGTCCAAATGCTTGGCCTACAGCTCTGCTGAGGTCGGCTGAGCTGAGCTTGGCTATGTCCGATATCACTTCGTCCAGTGCGACAAACACTGAGCAACAACTCTGGCTGCATGTTTAAAAGCGCCAAGTCCTGACGAAACAAAAATTGTGACTTGTGCTTTCCATTCTTGGAGGCCATCGCTAGCAGGTTGGAGGCCATCGCTAGTAGTTTCTTTATCCAAAATGGTCGTACAGTTCCTTTTGATTCTATTAGCTTCTTGTTACTACTAGTAAGGCCCTTGCTCCTAGTAGCGATGCACTTGTTCCTAATAGCTTATTTAATTCGTAAGAATTTCTTTTCCATGGGCCGTGTCACCGCATAAGCCCGGCCAGAGAATTCTTGCCTGCCCGAAGAGGATGAAAAACTGTGAGTTGTTCCTTAGCAGTAGCAGGCTTGGCTGCTGAAAAACAGTTGGCAGGAAATCACCAAAGCAGGGGCAGGACGACAACTGCAAATATATTCAGAGTTGAGCATCGTGTTCGGGCCGGAGTTGGCCATGGACAAAATATTTGCTCTGGCGTGCAGTCGCGCAAATGACTCATCTGCGAAGCAGGGTCCATAAATCGAGCGTCCTCCTGAACAGCACTGACGTGAACTGCATCAGAAAAGCCAGAGGGACATGGGACAAACAGTCGTGATGTGATGTCATATGATTTCATAAAAACTCAGAATGAGCACTATGCAGAAAGGCAAGTTGTGCTCTGGCACAATGGAAAGGCAAATCAGCACACAGTGGTACGGTCCGGCCGTCCTGTCCCATCACCGTGGGTAATGTCACCCCCTTGCGCCATGAATCCAGGGATGATTCGATGAAAAGTGCAGCCTTTGAAAGAGAGATCTCGACCTGAGCAGAGAAAGCCTAGGGGCCTAGAAGTACTGAAAAGAAGCGAACATATAAATATAACGAAAATAAAAAGGATGCGTCCGCCGCCCCCTGTGAATTGCTAGTTTGGAATACCCAATGCCATGCAAGACCAAATCTATGTGTATGCCCTTCGTACCGTCTTATCTTCTTCACTGCTTCTCAATTGGCAGTTACACCGTGAGACCGTCTTCTTCATCCGTGTCTCGCACCGTCTCGCTGACCACCTGACCACGCCTCGCTCCCCAGTGCAAAGGCATCGAAAGTTCTCGGCCTAAAAACGAGCTCTCACGAGCTGTCTCGGCACTCGGAAAACCAGGAACACGGTTTTAGTAACAAAATCAGGAGTACTAAACCTCTGCTTCGTGGCTCTTCAACAGCTCTGCCCGTGGAGACTAGGGTCGCAACTGTTCGTGGCACCACGTCAGCAAAGAGCTCCTCTGGAAAAGCTGAGCTTGGAGGTCATCGCCAATTATTTGGGAGCGATCGGACGCTACTAGGGGCTCCTGGCCTTACTACTGGGAGCAAGAAGCTACTAGGAGCAAAGGGCATCGCTACTAGGAGCAAGGACGCTATTAGGTGGGAGGCTGAGTCAGGCTGAGCTTCCAAACAAACGGGGTTTAGAAGTTTAGCTGCCATAGCAGCCATAGCCTTGCTCCGGAACCCATCAAACCTAGTTTTCATCCAAAAGTTGAGGCTTCGACATATATTGACAAAAAAGTCAGGACCCATTGAACCAGCCTGCTGGATAAACAATTGCAGCATACAATACCGTACATGCATCCAAGCATCAATCTCCAAACGTCCAGATGCTTCCACACGGCCATGACGCTCACCGTAGCCTGCTGGTCCTCGCACCTTGGTAAGAGGGGGCCTTGCCTTCCTTGGTTTTTTCTCTTCGCGTTGAGGCCACATAATGTGTTCCATCCCTCATCCCTTTCTTCCTTCCTTGCTTGGTAGGTTTCTAGTTTGTCACTACAGGGCCCTGCGGTTCTGCCTGATGCCACCCCCTCCCAAAGAGACAAAAACCCTTCCAAGGCCTCGATGTCCAGGTAGACCACTGGATTGTCCCTGCCCTTCTGTGCTTCTGCTGCTTTCTGACGTTCCTTCAGTTCACGCTCGTCATCCTCCCAGTTCGGAAACACATTAAATCCGAAGCCAAAAATACCGGGAGCACAAGGAAAGCATCACAATCGGCATCGAGCAAGCCAACCGTTTTATCCCACTCACAGTACGTTTTCTCAAGTACTGCAGCAGAAAACTACGAGTATCTAGGAGTGCCAGTTCTGGGCTAAAACTAAGGTAAAGGATTCAGGTGCAGTTCTGTCCATGCAGCTTCATGGTGCTTGGAAAGCTTCGCTGCGGGAGAAAAAGATGAAAAAAAAGAAACGCGAATCTGCGTAAATCTGTCGTGTACACCACTGCAGTTGCCTCTTCTTTCTTTAGTCGGCGCTTTTCAGCAGCCGCCTCTTTCTCTTCAAACCTACAAAGTCGCAGAGGGCCGACTCACAGGGCGAAAACGCAAAAAGCCAAACTATAGCAGCATAGACACTAATAGCTTCTTGCTACTAGTAGTAACAATGTTTCTAATAGCAAACATTGTTACTACTAGTAAGGCACCTGTTTCTACTAGCGTGGCACTTGTTTCTAATAGCAAACATTGTTACTAGTCGTGTCAACATCTTTTCGGCGTCGGCGTCAACTCCGTGAATTCCGTTGGTGGAAAGACCTGCAAGTGTACTTTTCTTTTGCCTCCAGCTGTTTGGTTAAACAATAAACGTTTGAAAACACTAGTTCCTGATGCCCGATATCACATTTCATCTGCTGTATCACTGTTGCATTCATAGCCACGAAAACGTGCCCAAGGTGGTGGAGAAAGAAAAAGCGGCGTGGCCAAGCAGGGGGCAAGTCACAAGCAGGACAGGCAGACGACAAAGGACAAGAGGACGCAAGGTTTGCAGCCGTGGCACGAGGACAGGAGGACACCAGGACAATCAGAGAAGGACAGAGGGCTCGCCAGCGCGGCCAAAGGACGGCAGCACGAGGACAACACAGAGCCAAGACACAGAGCTCAGGGGCGCGGCCAGCCGTGGCCTCTTTTTTCGTAAGAGATAGTCCAATAAACTGTTTGGGGAAAGTATGAAGCTCACAATCCTTATAGCCATGGCCTCCAACCTAAAGCCTAAAGCTACACGGCGCCAACGTGTTTTGTAAAATCTCATAAACTTGCAGAGCGACTCTTCTGCAAAGCGTTCTCGTTCTGCTTCCTCTTCCAAGAGTTTCTTCAAGGAGTCCCTGTCCTCTTTCGAGCTTAAGCAGAACTTCAGCTTCATCGTTATGGACTATTCAACATGACATCATCCAGCAAATAGTTGTCACTGAAGCAAAGACTACGACTAATTTAATTAAAGCTGCAATTGAAGATCATGGACGATCTGGAAGACCATTCAGAATTCCCTCAGCCTACCCAATGTTTTCCCATACCAAGCAAGAAGTGTAGCATTATGCTCGTTCTTTGCACGGATCTCCTTCTTATCATTTCGAGAGGAGACGGCACCAGCCCGCTTTCGACCGAAGGATGCCATCACCACTTTCAGTTGATGTTGGGTTGGTTCCCAATCAGCTTGGGGAGAACTCAATACTGTAGTCTGAACATGAGGTAGACAGCTAGCCATGTCATGACCGGTCTATTTTGTGGTATGCAATTCCTAATCCCGATTACGGTGCATCTGTTTTTGCTAATTAGCTTCCTTTGCGTGAAGTGTTTGTTGGCTCCTGGCGGATTTGTTTCCTCTAAATTCAAGCCCAGTGGGCTCAACGCTGGTTCGGACCAAATGTTGCAGGAAAAAAGTGAAAACTGCAATCATCCAGTCGCAAGTCCGTTTTTCTTGTCTTTGGACCTTTAGGCGTGTCCTCTTTCCTTCCTTTCTGTGCATTCATGCATTTGTAAAATATCCATATTAGGCGCGCACATAATCATCGCTCTGCAGCACTCGGGTAATGTAGCGGATCGCGATGTTCAAAGGCTCCATCTCCTGCAGTCTGAATAGCCCAACGGCCTGACTAACCCGAGTGCACTCTTATTGATTTTTGGGTCTTTTCCAATAAGAACGATTGCCTTTCTGAGATAAGAAAGTGCTCTATGTGCTCTTTTAGGCACTGTACTGCTGTAATTCTGGAGGTTTTGTGGCTGCTTCCTAGCACAAGGCAGCAAATCGTAGCAGGCAGCGCAGCGGCAGCAGCACCCATCAAGCTCTTAATGGGGATGACCCCTGCGAAGGCCGCAGCCTTTAGGTCTTCCTGCATCTCAGCACAAAAGGTTCCCGAATTCGTGCCTGATGCCTGCATGAGGCACGCCACAGCTCGTTCGAGGAATGGAACATCTAAACGCATAGTAAATCATAGTAATCACATAGGCAGGGCTGCATAATGTGACTGAAGAAAAGTGCAGAACAGTGAAGAGTTCTGGCGGGGGAGTGAAAGCAGATATTTGCGGAGAAAGTGCAAACTGGAAAGAAGTGCCCAAAAGTATGCAGAAAAGCCATACAGGAAAAAGTCCTGAAAACTGAGTACTGGAGGTCGAAGCACAGAAAAGCAGTGGATTTTAGAAGAAAGTGCACCAAGTAGAGGTATCTAGCGATAAGTGCAAAAAAGTGGAGTGTTAGAGTAAACGTTGTCCGCAATCCACTGAGCTCGAGACTGAGCGACAACTGCTTGTAACAAGAAGCTACTAGTAAAATCTAGTAACAAGGACGCTATTCGGTGGAGGCCATCGCAAGTAGGTTGGAGGCCATCGCTACTAGAAACTGTGGGAAGAACATGAAAGAACTAGTGTTCTCCTCGTCACTCTCAGTTCTTGCCCGAGCTGGGAGACTTTCCCTGAGGAAGCGGAGTCGTGTCACCTCTTGGAGGGAACGACTGAAGAGGCGCCGTGTTTTGCTATTCTGTGCATCTGCAACCAATCCGTCCAAAATTTGCAAAGCACGTGGTTCTTAAACACCGAATTAGAGTATAAAGGCTTCGATACTTTTCTCGTGCAGATTTGGTGTTTCTCCAGCTGCACCCTGGGGAGCAAGCTCGTCCAGGAGCACGTCAACCTCGACTGAACATCTCGGAGTGCTCAGACAATGTCTGCCAATTCTGATTCTATCTCAACATGTGTTTATTCTTTCTTCTCTTATCTTCTCTTCTTTTTGTCTTCAGGTCTTTGGAATCCTTGAAGGCCTTTCGTCGTTCCCCAAGTCCATGCAATCTCGGTTTCCCACTGCATCCACTGCTTCATCATCTTCGTCAGGCTCCTGCCCCAAAGTTCTCTGCAAGGCGAAGTTGGAAAGCTCTGGTGAAGCGAAGGTCCAGTGAAGAGAAGAAGAAGAAGAAGAAGGGGACCTTCACTTCTGCCTGTTCCTATTTGTTATGTTATATCTTTATAGAGAGAGAGAGAGAGAGGGTTGAGGAGAGAGAGAGATAGAGACAGAGTTGAGGGATCTCAAGGTGACCTTGTGCCCAGGTGCATCCCAAAGGATGGCAAGGGTATTGCGGGGCGATTCTTCTTCCGCTTCGTAATGCTTCAGTTGGACCCCTCCACTCGCTTGCTTCAACTGGCTTCAACTGAGCAGTTGCCTCCCACCGAAGTCACCTGTCTCACTTCTTCGTCTTCAGCGCTGGGTGCTCACCCGTGGCCCACGTGGGTTCAACACACAACACGTCTGCTCCAACAGTGGGTTTTTTCCCTTATAATTTATAAGAGTCACCCTTCAACTCCCTCCAACAAGACAAAAAAAACACACTATTTTACTCCTCCGGGAGTGGCAACGGGAGATCTGGCGCCCCTTCCTGAGAGCATGGATTCGAAGTTTTGGACGCCTCTACCTTCAACCCCAACTGAAGCAAGCTCTTGGAAGGCCTCTTGGCTTGTTTGGCAGGGACTTGCTAAGTTGCGAACCAGTATGCTGCCAAGCCTAAGGCCATCTCGACAATCTTCACGATGCTTACATTAGGCTTACATTATGAAAAAAATACATCATGCCAAACACATCAGCTTGCACACTTCTTGTAAAGAGAGGCCATAGTCAAGGCCACAAAAGTTAAGTGCAGTCAGCTGAGGCTCAACAAGAACACGGCTCTTTTAGTCAGTGTCTTCCATTCCCGTAATTCTCATCTGTTCCGGTATTTCAACTCAGCTCTGCACGCGTCGCATGCAGCGGCTCGCACTGGAGGATCGCGGTCCCCAACTGAGCATCAACAGGTGGTGACAGAAACGCGACCGGCGAAAGAATGGTCTGAGTTGTGGTAAAGGTAAGGCGTCTTGTTGAATGTCCTCAGAATCTGTAGGTACAAGGAGGTTGGCTCAATCCATGGTAGGCAAAGTGCACACATGTTGCCAATAAAATGGAAAACGCACTGCACAGCTTGGTCTAACAAGCCAGTGCTCCAACCTACGCTTATATTCACAACCTGTGAGAGAGAGAGAGAGAGACACACACACTCATGGATATGCGTACGGACTTGATAGCGGTGCCACACGCCGGCCTAGGGTTCCATTTCCTAAGAGTACGAGTAAGAACCACGGAGCCTCGAGGTCTTCAAGAGGAAATAGGGCCAAAGTCTCAAGATCGAAGGCGACGATCAAGTCGACATGACGACGTGCGCTCTGGACTGCCAAATGTAGCTACCTGTGAGGTTCTGGGCTTAGCCTCATGCCATTCAGAAGACTCGGAAAATGGCAGGTACGTCTGGCTGATCAGGCCAGATATCCGCATGTACTGTGGCCGCTTCGTTGGACCATTGCTCACAGCACATGGATGGTCCCCCTGCTGTAAAACAAAACAAATGCAAAAGCATCCCTATGACTCCAAGGGTGACACACACACACGCCTCCCCGAAGGGAGGCACCTCTGCGCCTAGTAGTAAGGCCAGGAACCCCTAGAGGCACCAAAGTAGCGTCCTAGTAAGAAGGCTAGGAGCCCCTAGTAGCAACCCACACTAAGGTCCTGACAGGAGGGAGGGGTAGGGAGAGAAGAGAAAAAGAAAGAGAAGAAAGGAAAGGGGAGGAAGGTGTTCCCAGCTACGACACAAGCGTCCAGGGACACACCAAAGGAGGAAAGGAAAAGGGTTCCCAGCTATGACGAAAGCATCCAGGGACACCCAAGGAAGAGGGAAAAGAGAGGGAAGAGAGAAGGAAAGAAAGAGAGAGGGAGAGAGAAGGAGAGGAGAGAAAGGAAGGTGTTCCCAGCTACGAACGATCGTCCAGGGACACACCCAAGAAAGAGAGGGGTGATCCTGAGTATTGCATTCAGGAAAACCCCAGAAAGCAAAGAAAGAAAGGGGAAGGGAAGGGGGAGGAGGGGGGACTAAGCTCGCGACAGACTCCAATGAGCCTTGAACAGACTTTGGTCGCTGCGACCACGTACGGCTTGCCCGAAGGCTGCCACCTCTGACCGCTACGGTCACGTAAAGGCATGAGCCAACTTGGAATTCCAAAGATGGGACAAAAATCATCGGACGTACGGCCTAGGCCACCTTCGCCCGCTCTGGGCATCTACATCTCCGGGCAGGGGAGATAACGACGTACACCCGTTCGACGGGTCCACGGGAGGCACTCTGCGGGCTCATCCCGGGTTGGCACGAGGCCAAACACACTCATGGATATGCGTACAGACTTGATAGCGGTGCCACACGCCGGCCTAGGGTTCCATTTCCTAAGGGTACGAGTAAGAACCACGGAGCCTCGAGGTCTTCAAGAGGAAATAGGGCCAAAGTCTCAAGATCGAAGGCGACGATCAAGTCGACATGACGACGTGCGCTCTGGACTGCCAAATGTAGCTACCTGTGAGGTTCTGGGCTTAGCCTCATGCCATTCAGAAGACTCGGAAAATGGCAGGTACGTCTGGCTGATCAGGCCAGATATCCGCATGTACTGTGGCCGCTTCGTTGGGCCATCGCTCACAGCACATGGATGGTCCCCCTGCTGTAAAACAAAACAAATGCAAAAGCATCCCTATGACTCCAAGGGTGACACACACACACACCCACCCGCGCGCGCGCGCGAGACCAATCAAAAAGAGGCGAGAGGAGAGGAGAGGAGAGGAGAGGAGCGACAGGAACGGGCCAGAGCCAGAGGAAAAAGTCAGAAAGTTATGTCATGTCTTTTTCCCCAACACTTTGAAAGAGAGAAAGAATGAGAAAGAAAAAGAAATACAAAAAGATATAAAAGAGAAGAGATATGTAGAATGATTAGAATGTAGAAAGAAAAGGCCATGGCGACCTTTCTTGGAGCCTTCTGGGCTTCGGTGCTCACGGCTCTGCCCAAGTCCTGCACCACCATCCGCGCAATCTGTGACAGGCCGTGCGGGCGGCAGGCCGTGAATTCAAAACAAGGCTTCATGTTTTTTCAGGATCGAGAAAAATATAAGACACACAAAAAGTCAATATATAACTCTGAAAAAAAATCGAAAGGTCAAAAAGACAGAAAGGAAGATGAATTGTTTGCCATAAGGCTTCAGGTCTCAAAGAGACGCCTCCAAACCTCAAATCAAAGCCACGACTGCTCATCAACCCCCGCCACAAGACCTTTTCCCGGCATTCCACCTTTGGAAATGCGGCTGCTTTGGGCTATGCGGCTATGCCTACGCATCCACCACACCCTCACTGCCAGGCCGAAGGCTCTTCACCTGAGCAAAGTTGTTTGGAACTCCTTTCCTGTGAACAATGTTATGTGAGAAGACACCTCCACAATGGCACAACCCTTATGTTCTCCAAACGTGGAGTGTTAGCACGACTGCTTTTCTTGCATCACTCTTGCATTCAGGAAGCCCAAGAATGGCTTGTTTTAGCCCTCCAAGGCCCCTAACGAAGGATTTCTTCAATTTGAGATGTCTGGAGCTTCAGCCTCCGAAGGCGTCAGGCTGGATGCTTCCTCACATTCCGACCTCGGCCGCTTCGGCCATCGGCCCAAATCGCCCACATCGGCATCTTTGGCAGGGCTGGTGGGACTGCGTGGGCTGCACTCGAAGTCATCGTCATACAAGCTTCCAGCTTGGCTTCCAGCTTGGCTTCCTTGACTTTCAGCACTTCCATGGCGTACGCGTGCATCAAGGTCTTCAAGGTCGTCTGGTGGCATGTTGGGCCCTTCCACGGTAGGCCCCTCATCGCCTTGTCTTTCAGCATCGCCTTCCGCCTCTCCCGCTTTCAGCACACCATCGGCGAAAGCTTCTCCTCGATCTCCTTCAAGCACTGAACGATCTGAACCCTTCTCTTTCTTCTCTTCCTTCTCCATCCGCCACAGCTCGATCTGACTCCTCTTCTGCGACAAACTCTGCAGCTCTTTGGTGTCAATCCGGCCATCTCGGTTTGCATCCAAGCCGCGAAAAAGTAGCTTTTGCTGCCTTAAAGTCAACCAACTTACCCCCATGTCAGTCAAGATGCAGTGAAATTCCCAGAAGCTGAGACTGCTGGGTCTCAGCCCCTTGTCGCTGCGAGACATTCGCCTGAGCAATTTGGCTCGCTGGGCTAGTCGTCTTTCCCAGATCTCCAGGACCCGCTCTACTTCTGTGGCGGCTTCCATCGTATCCCAAACGAACCTTCCAATCCAGTCGTTCAGAGTCAAGCCCGCCTCATCACCTTCCCCAGCTATGAACCTGAAAATTATGTCGGTCTGTTGCTGTGTCAACCAATTAATGCCACCCGCATCCATGGCATTTGCAAACTCGCTCCTTGACAAGGATACATCGACCATGCCCGCCTTTGCCGAACTCTTGGCATCGAGCATCTCCTGAATCTTCCTCGTCACATGAAAGACATGATGTAGTCTCAGACCGAGGCCACTAACTCTCTTGAAGTTCCCTGGGGAATCTATGACAAAGGCATCAGCCAAATCCTCTTCCCAGCTCATCAATTCATCTCGTTCTCTCTGGATTGCCGTGAGCAATATCATTTGCTCTGGCTCCTTTAACCAATGAATGCCCGCCCGACCCAGAGCTCTTTGAAAATCTCTCATGCCGAGCTTCTGGACATCTCGTGGGCGCCCTGCCTCCAAAGTCTCGGGTAGCTCTGCAGGGTCAAGCTCTACAGACAGGAAGTCCAATGATCCGGGGAAACGTAGCACCCAACCAGCCTTCAGTCGGAGTCCATCTATCTGCAGATCTGCGGTGAGAACCTCCCTTTCGGTCGACTCACGCAACTTCAGCAGCTCAGCAGCATTCAAAACTTTGAAAGGGCGCCAGGCAAACTTCAACTCAAAGACCAGGCGGTGACAGCAAGCCTGTCGAATCTGACGGAAACCCAATCGATCTGCCAGCTGCTTTTCAGAGAAACGCGGGAGCCGGGCAAACGGACTCAAAAAGCATAAGCGGATTGAGTGCTGCTTTGGCTGAAGCCGAGTTGAAGCTAAGACCTCTCCACTCCTTAGAGACCATAACTTCTTCCCATCTTCCACCGCAGCTTCACCAGGAATGCCTGGCTGTTCGCCACCCCTAGACCGCCTGGCTGCTTCGTCGTTTCTTGAAATCACTGCTGAGAGCTCGTATCCTTCACAAAGTCCGGCCAGTGCCATTCCGCTATCCTGGGGCAACCCAGTCACAAAGAATGGCTCTCCCAAACCGCCTCTCAGTTCAATTTCATCAGGCGCTTCCTTCTGAATTCGAATTCCGACCGTCGAAAGATTGGCAGCCTCAAGCAATGCAGCAAAGTCCTTTGGAAAGGTGGAGGCCATAAGCAGCGTCTCTACATGCTGAGTGCTTTCGAGGTCAGGGGCCTCAACAACTATCACAGCTACGAAGTTTGCGGAGACTGAGACCGAGACATTGTGCGAGGCAGTATCCCCTCCGTCTCTTCCAGCTTCCTCATTGTCAAAATGAGAGAAAGACTTAAAGGAAGAGGTCTAGCGTGCTCTGAGATCCGGATGGACCAGCTGCCCCTTTTGCCTATGCTTATTTCGAGGAAGGGTAGAATAATGAGATGTTTATCTTCAGGGGAAAAAACTACAATTAGAAAAAAAGTAAAGGCATTATTTAAAAAAGAGTTGTTCTTTCTTTTTCCTGGGGATCTGGATCACTTCCACAGTGCAGCTTCAATGCCTTCACCGTGACAGTCGGCGTCGGCTGTCGGACCTGTCAGACCGAGTCGTGGTCCGCCTGGTCCACTGCGTGGGATCCGAGGATGTGACGCAGGGCCTTTGAGACTTGTTGAATGAGTTGGTTGCGCAGCTCGGTCCAACCATGAAAAAGGGAGTCGAAGTGTCTGAGTGTGAAATAGATTCGCCAGGAGCCCTTCATGGCAATGAAGTCAATCCACAAAGTTTCCCGTGATACTTGCGGCATGCCAATTGGCTTGTCCTTCACAGAAGAGCTCCTTGTTGTAATGGATCGTGCAAGCGATCCAGAATCAATAGTGGAACGCTGAGCTTCCTTCTTGCCAGTTCGCCATGCAAATAGCCGGCGGCTCTTCTCACATCTTGGTCCTTGATGACTTTGCTTCTGGAGAAATGAGTTAATATCTTGCATTTGGGTGAAACGGAGCCTGAACGGCCTGAGCTTTCTCGGCATCCACATGCACAAAAATGAATGCAAACTCACCCACACATCGTGCAATGATCAGGCTTTCAAGCGAGCGTGGCAACCCCGAAACAAACTGTGCTAATTTGTTGTGGTAAATTGATGGGTTGGTCCGATTGGTCTGCAACGAACAGAACTGCGCATCCCCAGCCTGGAAGGACACATCAGCACCTGGAAGTGCCAATAACTTCTTCCTTATCGCCCACAACTCATGCAAAATCTGAGATTGTACAGGCCCACGGTACTTGGCATTTCAAGTTATTCTTGAGGGCATGACGCTTCCCACAAGCCACGAGCTCCTTCTCTCCAGGAACCTAAGGAAAAGTCATCGAGGAAAAACATTGACGAAGCACACCCTTTGCACAGTGCCCAGCGTACATGTACCAATTTGTGGGTGATTTTCCAATTGGCACCCCCCATCTTGCATGCCAAGAATCAAAGGCACTGTGCTCAATTGTGCTCTGTTTTTTAGCCTTGTCTTATGCTTTCACTTAGCTGACACATCCCTCAGCGCCTTGCCCACGTTGCGCCCACGGGCTGCCAACACCTTGAATGTCGCACCCTCCCGCATCCGTGGGCGCACCACCAGCAATGCCTTCAAGACGTTTGCGAAGAGTAAAGTATGTTCCCAAAGTATCCCAAAGTATTTTCCAAGGTGTTCAAAGGTTTTTTGGCCAACATGCATTCCAAATTCACATGAAAAGTGCTTCCTGCAAACTTTGAAACCGTAACGTGTGTTAGGGAGACATTGCAAAAACGAAACGATGGTGGCCTCGTCTTTGAGGCCCAAAGCATCTAGGGTCGCAAAGTCATCATGCAGTTGTCGTCCCTCAAAATAAAGCTCCTGTCAGGCACTGCAATGCATAGCCTCAGCATTGTTTGCTGGCTGGATGCTTATTCTCTCGAATCTCGCCCATTTGCTTCAAGCCCTTGGCATTTAGCATCTCCTTGTTGATTGCTGCATCGGGAACTTTTAGTTTGCGTTCCACCTTTGGCCCGACCCCAAGCTTTCGCATGAACCTTTGGAGAATCTGCCTGCAACCGAGTTTACATGCCTTTCCTGCCGCATGAAGGGCACGCCGAATAGCTGGGTGATAAAACCTCAGTTTCAGCGTGATTTTGTGCTTCGGCCAGTGTCCACGCTTTGGTTCATGATTGTCACCCAGTGATGCCTTCCGACTCGGAGATGTCTAGTTACGAGCGGCGGAAAGATCCCCCGGCACATGCTATAGCAAAGCATAGCCTAGGCTGAGTCCAAGGATGGCACCCTTCACATTCTGAATGCTGTCGCGCGCTTCGCAGGGCAGTCGCCGAAGGCCGGCCTCACAAAGCTATCGCAAACCAGTTCAAATGGCCGTATATATGCACCCTAATAGCGATGGCCTCCAACCTAAATGCGATGGCCCTCCACTAAGAGCGATGGCCTCCACCCTACTTGCGATAGCCTCCAACCTAAATGCGATGGCCCTCAACTAATAGCGATGGCCTTCACCCTACTTGCGATGCCCTCCAACCTAATAGCGATGGCCTCCACCCTATTTGCGATGGCATCCACCCTAATAGCGATGGCCCCCAACCTACATGCCACGGCTTCCAAGAGTTCATATGGCCGTATGGCCATGACCTATGCCGCCGGCCTAACCGCCATGGCACTGCGTACTATTTGTGACGAGCCTTGTAGGTGGTCGGCAGCAAACATGGATCGATGTCGATGATGAGCATTGCTGCGTCGAAGCTTTCTAAAGGGATGTGTATGCAATTGAATGCATGAGGTGGTTGGAAA